AGAATTCTGAACTAAAAACAAATATCCTCTTAAATTGGAACACAATGAGACACTCACAGCCATCATCACCTACAGTCATCCTCAAGGGAAACAGAACTGCACGGCACTAACAGAATTTCCACTTGTTTGTACAATTTACAGAAGGCTCAGAAAAGTTTTACAGGCTTATCGTCAGAAATAATGTGCTACTTATTCATCCTAGCAGTGATATTTTACACAGCACTCTGGGATCAAAATGCAATTTCAACAATAATATATTTTCTGATGTTCTCCAAGGAAAAATTGCTAGTTTCTTCTCTCTAAAAGGATTTAAATGGAATAACATCTGTGTTGAGATTATTGTGAATATGTTAAACTGACAGTATGTCTCTAAGGGGCACTGCTCATTAATGTTCTGTGCATAAAATTAAAACCTGAAATATATTTTTCAATCCATTTTGAATCATTTAAGCAATTCTCATGCAAAGAAACTATTATGCTGCAATAATGTATTTGCGGAGTTGAATATGAAAGCTATTAAAATGTCCCAGACCCCCTGCCTTCCATGCAAAAAGAAAAAAGGCAACTCTTCTGATTTGAAACACGCACTTATTGAGAGAAAAAACACTTTCAAAGACTGTGAACTGTTTGATTTCAGTTTATGTAATGCAACAGAACTCTAAACTATGTCTTCTTTGCTTTACCGTAACAGACATTATGCTGAGATACTCCAGCACATAGCTGGGGAGAATTCCAACATGTGTTGCACGTAGGCATTACAAGAACTGTTCACTCAGAGAAGGGTAGCAGTGGTGGCCATAATCTGTGATCTTTTCAATTGTAACAGGCAGCATCCTGCAAGTCCTCTGCAACCGGAGCAGAACTCAGAGGTAACCAAACCAAGGATTTTGATGCCAAAAAGTCCAACAATTTGACAGCGTAAAAACCCTCCATGGCACCACAGAAATAACTTTGGGAAGCACATATATCAAACAGCTGCAGCACAAACAAAAGCAATGGATCTTCACAAAACCAAATTTAACAGAAATTATTGACAAGTATCTAAATCAGTTAAGATTGCTCATACCTCTCAAGCACAGAAACCTGCAAAAAGCTGTAGCTGTGACATTTTACAGACAGAAAACATTTTTAAATCGGGATAATAGAAAAGCCAGACACCACTCAAAAAGCCATGGGATAACTACAGCCGCCGTAAGATCATGACCATTCTAATTTGGCTACAAAATACAATCATTCTCAGCACACCGCGGATTCCTCTAATAAATGGTAACCCAGGAACTCTACTTAACATATTCCTCGATGTGATGGACTTCAGCAGGGTTCTTTTTTGTTGCATTTTTAATTATTGTTTCATTGCTGTTCGGGGCTTTTTTTGTTTGGTTGGTTCGGTTTTGTTCTTGGATGAAGACAGAGTCCATGGTCTCAACAGGACTTAGTTTACTTAAAAGAAATCACAGCCATCCTAACAAAGCAGTCTGCCACTCAGCAGCCTACATCTGAGGTATTATCCAGAAACACTGTAAAAATAGCTGGAGTCTTTCACTGATCTCTTCTATTTGACTTCCATACTCAGTGCTGTAAAAAGCAACATGGGGCAATAAGTACAGAACTACCAATAATAACCAACATTTTTTGGTAAACATTTTCAATGCAAGTGCATAAGTATAGATTTATGTATGGATTTAAATACACCTCAACATCCATCTTCAGAGGCTTCCCCTCAGAGGAGGAGTGGTAACACGCAAGCACGAAGGAAAATAATGCCTTTCAGGTTTTCAGATGGATGCAAAGACAGCAGTGCTTATAGTGAGAAGTGCAGCCCTTAACAAAGAAAGCCATAGAACACAGGCCGCAATACAGCACTGTGGGTTTCCTTAGGACTATCAGCATTCTTCTTTCCCTCGCTGCTTTATCTCACATCTGCATAGATTATTTATAGATTATTGGCACCTTCCAGCCAAGCAGCCCAGTCAGAACACTGACAGTTGCCCCACGGAACCGCCAGATGTACAGCAGCAGCCATAGCACACTGGGGGCGCATGGTGCTTACTGGTCACATCCAAGCTAGTGGCACAGCCCTGAGACAACTCCTCAGATCACTAACATGTGTTTTTCATTACACGTTCCTATACTGCACTGAATTTCTCAGATAGAAAACAGCAGTTGTAAACTTCTACTCCTCAACTCTAAACTTCCGTAAGTTTCACAAAGTGGAAAGAAAGTCTTTCCTTATCATTTGTATCGTTGCTTTCATGGTGACTGCAGTTACTGCAGTTCATGATGAAGTGCACTGTTAGAACAGCACGGGAGGAGGACAGGGTTTGAAGAATCTCTGAGCACTTTCATGTTACTGCACACCTGAATCTACCAAAAGCTGGGAGAGTCCTTAAGGTGCTAAGACCTCCTCAAAGGGAAACAAGCAGATTAGATTCTCAGGAACTGTCCTGCTAGCTGATCCCCAAACCTCTACCTACACTTACCTTACATGCACACAGAGTAGTAAAATAGTAAACTAGCAATAGCTTTTATCTCATGATTCTCAGAGAAGATGCTCAGCTGTACTTTTTCCTGGTAACTCCAATGTGAACAATGCAGAGCTCTTACTAAAGAGATCAAGGATTTAGATCTAATTACAACTCTGCACTGAATACCATAAAGTAGCAATTTATAGTTCATGTAGTAGAAAATATAAAAACATTCAAAATACCCTCTGCAACAACAACAACAACCTCTTTCTTACGTTTTCCTCCCCAAGTCTGATGAGAAGCAGAGGATTCTTATCTCTACTTGCAAGAATAGTAGGCACAATAAAAACTGTGTAGTTGATAATGTAATGCTAGAATTAGGCCCATGACTTAGGGCTGGCCTTGTAACCAGAACTGAACATTACAGAAGAGCTGTTTTAGTGTACTGTCAAACATAAGGAGCTTTATACCTGCACCTACAGAACCTGAGCACAAATATGATCTAGAATCACTCTCAGTTCATTCAGTGGAAGTTGAGGTGCTCATGAACAACACTTGCAAATTCCCACTTAGAGCCTGAAAGAGAACAGGTTTGCTCCTTCCAAGCAGTTTCAAAGATTAGCAGAGCTACTGTATGCTAATTTGGACATTTCTCCATAAACAACCAATATAAAAAGCTTTCATATTTTCATCAGTGTAGGCATACAAGATTCCCAGAAAAACTTAACTGCTTTTGAAGACCAGTAATGACATAAGCAAAGCCATCACTGCTTTATACAACGTCTCATGTGATAAAAAGGTCCACCTACCCTTGGTTGCTCATCTTGGCTCATGCATCACGCTCCACTGTCTCCATTCTGTTCGTTGTTTTGATTGCAGAAACACAACCATTCATGGAGCTGTTTTGTGAAACACAGTAGATCAGTGACCTGATTTCCACTTATTGAGGAGTCTGTTTAAGTCACTTTGGTTCTCTAATTACTTCAGAGAGCAATACCACCTCTACCCATACCAACACAACATTCCAAGGCTATAGTGTTGTAAACAGACCCAGCAGTAACACCCAGCACATCCACCCAGCCCTCCATCATTGTCCTGTCTCATACTGCTGGCAGCATTTGTAGAACCACACAGAAGAGTGTGGGTCAAATCATCTCGTTTCCTAGTTAGACTTGATGACGTTCAAACATGCACCTTAAACTACCTATGTACCTACCTATTATTTACTTCATTTGTGACGTGCTGACAAACACTGCTGTACGTAACTACAAGCTGTAGACTTTCCATAAATGACCTCTAAATCTCAATGGATGCTTGACCTTAAAACTTTTTGTACAGCTGACAGTTCATTTAACCCCTATCTCACTTTGCTTCCCTATACTGCAAGTTTTTTAATATTATCCCATGCTCAGAAGAACCAAATGACAGCTCCAGCTGACAGCTCACCTCCCTGCATCCCCTCCTCTCAAAGACCATCAGTTAAACACCAAAAGAGAAACACAGAACATTATTAGGTTCTACTTTCACTAAATTAGTATGAAGATTCATTCCCTCCTAACAAATGCTACTGCAGGTTAAACCCTGATACGTAATTTTATATATATATACATGAATTGGATTGCTTTTGTTAACAAGTTACTTGTCTCACACAAAACATCTAGTCTGCAATAAGAGGGCTCCTGAGATAACTGTAACTAAGCAGCAGGGGTTAATTAAATAGGACAATGAGTAAGCAGTTATGGGTGTGATAGCAGACCCAGCTGATCTAATTGCCAGGCTAATTATCAAACAGAGAACCAAGAAACGGCACATAAGTGAAATATTGCATTTGTTGATAGTTTGATTTTTAGAGAGCTGCATCAATGCTGTTTTAGGGCTGCAGAGTGCCTTCCTTCCCTCTAATTCAAATAGAAGTTCTCGGCGTACCTACATGACAGCTGGAAACATTTACAGCCTTCTCACGTGCAAATATTTAAGACTTTTAGATACTTCGCTCAACAGTAAAGAAACAAATAGCAAATAAGCATTCAAACCCACTACCTATAAACCACCCGGCTAAGGTCAGAATGCGTCTGCATTTATATTATAATGACCATAAGCGTTCAACAGCGGGAAAAACGATTTGCAGCCTCAGTCCAAACCAGCTTCTATGGAGGGGCATGGAATTACTTCAAGCCCTTGCGCCAAGAGGGGCCGCTTTTACTGCGCAAATTCTGAATTCCTCAATTTAGATTTCTAAAGGAGCTGAAGGAGGAGGAAAAAAAGAAAAAAAAAAAAAAAAAAAAAAAAAAAAAAAAGCGCCAAAACAACGTGAACTTTGTTACAAACTGCACGCAGTTGGGGTTTTCATTGGAGGGCCATAAAGCGCCGCAGCTCTGCCCAGGGGCGGCAATGCGAGGCGGCAGCGCTGAGCTCCGCCGGGCTGCACCCCCCGCCTGGAGCTCAGCAAACGCCCCCTGCCCTGAAACACTTGTCACCTGCTGCTCCTCTCTGACGTGTATTCCTAGCGAGTAGCGTCCAGGAAAATAAGTGAAAATGATGGGAGAACGAACTACAGCAGCCCACCTCCCTGCTCTCCTTAGGAAGCAGCGGGCGCTGGCAGCCCTTCGCCTGCACAACGCGGGTCATCTGTCGCTCGAGGAGCGCCGCTCTCTCTGGAGAGCAAACAACGGAGCCGCTCCGCGCCCCGGCCTCGCGCACGGCCACGCGCTCATTGCCCCGCAACGGCCGCAGCGCGCGGCCGGCAGGGAAATGGCAGAGCCGCGCAGCGCCGTGGCTGAGGACAGCTGCTGGTAGCGGCCCGCAGAGCCCTTCTCTTTTGCCCTCTCCGCTCAGCAGGGGCGGGAGGAGCTCGCCCGTGCTTTCGTTTCACGGGCACGAGGGTACAGAGCTTTGGGAGGGCAGGGGAAGGCAGGCAGCTCGGGGCCCGAGCTTCAGGTGTCACCACAGACGCCTGCGAGGAGCTGCGTTCACGTGCATCATCTCCTTTCCAAGCCGTGGGAAACAGCTCCCATCACCTCCGCTCAGAGAGCTGTCAGCGCAGCCGTGCTGCTCAGAGGCAGAGAGCTGAAGGCTCACGCTCTGCTGTGCTTTTTATTGGGCTCGTTGGTTTATGCTTTTAGAATATAGCTGAGTCTTCTCACACGTTTCTCCATTTCAGGAAACGATACGTTGAAAGTGAGCTTGAAACTGCAAGAAGATGGTCTCACAAATGGGGATTTTTGAAAACAGCTCTTGAGGAGGTAAAACAGGACGGTGCTGGGTGAGGTGTGGAGCACGACGGCACACGAGGCTGTGCAGACACAGCAGTGAGCACACAGAGCAGTGCTGTGTGTGCTTTACTAAGCCAGGTTCACAGTTTGCAAATGCAGTACCTTTAAAGGTGGGCTCGGGGTTCTGACTTTCCTCTGAATGAAATGCAGCAAGTGGTAATTGATATGCCACGCACATCCTGATGTATTTCTCCTGAGAAACACGGCTCCCAGCAGTGCTAACAAGTACGAGATGCACACTGACAGGAAAACATTTCCCCTTTGTCTATCCATATGGTACATTAAAAACCAAGGGGGAAAGGTTCTAGCTAATTAAAATTTCAGTGGAGAAATTTACAGAGAACTAAAATATTTGGAGAGGTGTCTATTCTCACCAATGTTTAGATATGAGAATCTAGCATCGCATAATGTTAGGTTGGAATCATGATCTTTCATTGCTGAAGAGCAGGATCAGTGTAGGCCCTGAATGCAGCCGTACGTTTACCCTACATGAAGCTGGAAGCACTGCATCCATTGCAGGATGTTGGAACATTGCTGTAGGCATCTACGTCAGCACCTCTGAAACATTTTGTCCTCTGAGCTTCAGCATCCATCCGTGACAAGCACTGTCTGCCACTCACACCACCTTTGCACAGTGCTGATAGATGGGTAGCAGAAAAGCTGACAAACTCAATGTGTTCTTATTGGTGAACTTAGTCTTTGCCTTGTGGTCATAGAAGGTACATAAGATATAATTCTAGCCCTTTCTGGACATCTGGTGCAATGAAGAGAGTTGAATCACTCAGCAGCATTTTGCCTTTCACCTGAAATTCAAATTTATATCACTTTCTGGGGAAAAGAAAAAAAGTACACAACAAAAACTTCCAAAACACTACAGTATGTGTTCATGTTTTAAATGGAAAGAACAGAGAGAACAGATGCAACAGTCAGGTTAATGGGATAGATATCAGAGCCCATTTTTTTAATGGTGACGTTTTTATTTCAGTTGATTGAAGATGAAAAGAAAAAAAAACCAAAGCCCAAGATACAGCTTCCAGAGCATCTGCGGATTCGACCTGTGACACCTGTGGAAAAATATATTAAGGTTAGAAATTAGATTCTGAGATTGCAGTACAGCAATGCCTGTCTGAAGAGACCACCCAAGCCCTAAAACCAGTTGACTTGTAGAGGTGGGCCTTTAGCTAAAGGTCAGAGTAAATTGTATTAGCGGCCCAAGCAATGCTTTAAAAGCACTCATTTAAAACAAGGAATTGCCCTTTGGATGTGGTTGTTAGTTCACAGAGCTTTATGTATGAAATCAGTTTCCCTAAAGCACGTCCCCGTTCTCTGTGACATCGAGTAACACAGCAGTCAGCTGTATGGTTTATTATAGAAGAACGCCCAGAGCAGTCACTGTTCAGATATACATGCACACACCTTACTTCAAGGCTTAGCATAGACTCCTCTCTCAATTTTAAGTAGTGATTAAGATGTGGAGATTTTTTCTAGCTTTGTGCAAGTATTATTTTTGGCTGAGACACTGCCTCTGTTCTTTTAGTGGCACAAATTAGATCAGCTGAGAGAAGTGAGTTCTAATGAGTCAACATGTTTGATTTATAAATACACAGCATCCGAATCCACCACCAAATAGAATAACCATAGAGCTAGATCACCAACAAAGGGAGAGGAACCCACTCGTAAAAGGAGAGGCAGAACGTGCCAACAAGAAGCAAGGGTAGTCTGCTCTGAGAAGATTAGGGAAACAAAAGAGATTGAAAATTCCTAATTGTTGTCCTAAATTTCAAGGGATTCCAAGGGTGGTAAGATAAGGTGAGCAAGTACTTCTACTGAGACTAAACTGAATAAAAGAGCAAGTGCTGAGAGTGACAGAAATCAAGTGGCGGCCCTTCTGCCATTAGTGCTACTTGTTCCGCAGTTTTGTCCCAGGCATCCAATTTCAGTCTCTCAGGTTTGCCTTTCCTACACCGTGATGTGTCTTTCTGCATGTTCACCTTTATAGTAACAGACATCGTATCTGTTCTTCTCTCTAGGCTGGATTCATACTTCTTCATAGTCCCTTCCCCCAGATCATAAGTAGGAAGTGATTTCCTTTATTATCCTGCTTGGTGGGTGGCACTTCTGGCCATAAAAATTATCTTTTCGGAGGAACTGCTCCACCTAAATATCACAAACATTTCTAGTCTTGGCCAAAGAACAAAGTGAAGTAACTCTGGCAAGAGAACTGAAACATTGTTCTCTTACTGTGTGTTTCTCTACTGAGTCCCCAGATGATAAAACCATGTAAGTGCCCAACTGAGATGATTCAGCCAAAGCAAGCACAGCAGTCACTGAACAGAGGCTGCTGGCTTTTGCTTTGTTTCCTTTTTAGCAAGATTAGTTGCAGATTAACTTGATGCTTACCCATCTTTTAAAGTAGAAAGTGGAATGGATGAGTACTTCTGGACATAGAAGCCAGCTTGGTCAGTAATATCTTTAGCATTTGGCCACAGAACTGTTATTCCATGGCAGCACTGCTACCAAAAACACTGCAGCAAGTATAAAGTGCTGTTTTTCCTGTTTAGAGAAGGCAAGTAGCTTAAAGATTACTGTTAAAGCTAAAGAATAAATCCTTCTAATAACGGAAAGCCCTTAGAAATATATTGAACAAAACTGTGTACATGAAGAAAATGTATAATATGTATTACTGAATGATAATTTTGAGTTTTGATTTCCTGTTATATCTACCAGTCAAGGCACTAAAAGACTTCTATAAAGAATCATAAATGAAAGTTAGTTACTTCACTGGAATTTGTCCACTGAACTTCCCTTTTCCCCTGTGCCTTGCTACAGAATGGGACCTAAATTACCCTAATGACTTTTTATATTATGAACCATCCTGTTTTATAAATCAAACTCGCATGCAAGTAGGCAATCTTCCATAAATGTCAGTGTGCGTTCAGGATATTAATTAATCAGAATGCATTTAAACTCACTATTTTTATGCATTCTCATTTCCATCCACAGTGGAGCACAAAGGAGGATGTTGCGTGACAGAAATTACCATCAAAATCCTTTTAATCATTGAATTCCACATTTTACTTCTATTCTAGGTGGATCCATCTCCTCCAGTTCCAAGGACTTCCCAGGGATTTATTGGCTGGAGATCAGCTGTTCCAGAGCTGCAACTTGAACGTTGCTTTCAAATCCAGAGCTGCAAAGGCGCCTTCTCCAAGGATCTGCGCTGGCCACGCGAGCCCTCGGACTGACAGTAGGAAATAGCAGCTGGGCACATAGAAGCACTTGCATTCCAAAGTTAACATTCACCAGTGGATTGTTCAATGCCTGTATAAGCACCCACAATCATTGTGGCAATGTGTGAACACCACGATGCAGCATTTCGCTTGCTGCAGATTTTTTGGCACCTATAGCATTCATGCTGTCAATACTGCTTCTGAGTTGCCTGGTTTCCAGTAGAGCTGCCTGATTGGTTTAAGTAAAGCTTACAAAGGCCATTCAGTAAAATAAAGTCACTTTCTAAAAGCAGTTTTGGTATCAAAAGTGTTTTTTGTTGTTCAGAATATAAGTTTCTAAGCATAAGATTCAAAACAAAAATATGCCACCAAGTATTTATGTTGCTGCAGATTTTTTATACCAATGTTTGTATCAATCAGGACTGGTATGAACTCAGAAACAGACTGTTGAAGTCTAAGTAACTTCATTTAAAAAAAAAAAAAAAAAAAAATGAGAAAAGCTAAATTGGCCTTCAAGTATTTTCTTGCACTGAAAATTTCTAAATGCATCCATCTTCATACATCATTTAACACGTTTTGTATAAAAAAGACAATGTGTTATCAAATCACTGCTTATGGCAGGCCTATTTTCAGAAATATTTGTGTAGAAACAAAAATAAACACACAAACACCACAGCAGTTTCTTGAATAACCCGCCAGGCGTTCCTCAGTTTATCAAACACTCCCTCTTTGGTTAGAAGGTTCGTCACACAGCGCTGAGGTTTGGCTGCTCGTGGAATCTCACCTGTATCCTGTTTACCAAACACAGCAGCATAGCAACCACAGCACAGTACGACACAGCATGGAGAGAGAAAATAAAACACATTTCCATTCTGTCACCTGCCATTAAATCAATCAAATATCTGAGCGAGGATCGGAATCAGCACTGGGTCCCTCCTGCCTCGCACTCTCAGATAAAGCTGTGTGAATTGGTTCCTCCTGTAAGCGATGAGGAATCCAAGGTGTTTGGTTCAGAATGGACACGTTGGATGCTGTTCAACACTTCTTGCTATCCTTTTAGCAAAGCAAATGGAGATGAGAGGAACGTGTTAACAGCAAACCACACGAATACCTGTTCACATACAAGAGGTTGTTTCTGAAATCTGTAGAATTTGTTCTCTTGTACGGAGTCTTGCAAACTAAACTACATTTTACATTACACACATGTTCATTAACAGTAAGGGATTGCCATGGGAGCTATTGGTGCAGCTATCTCAGTGCTGGAGGGCTCAGCCTTGCACTTCATCACCCACCTGCAGATTTGCCAGGACTTCTGAAAACTCACAGGGAGCCTCATTTAGGTGCAGCATTTGTTTGCAGATTCTAGTTCTAGTTAACTAATGTATAACATTCAAAAACTGTTAAAACAAACAACAGACTCCAAGAAGTCCATACAGGCAATTCTTAGTAGTCCTCATTACTTAGGGAGAAAAGGCTTTCCTCTGTAATCCTGCTGCTAGATCTCCACTGTTTTCTGCAGCAATCAATTCGTGCTTGAGTCAGCACTGAGCCCTTGGCTTTCATAGCAGTAGGTCAGCAGCGTTTGTTCTTTCCCTCTTCCCAAGAAATGACTCACAATGATCAACAGCCCACCTACTTTTTTACATCCAGTTCCAAGTGCCCACAAAATAACTATGTTTTACTTTTTCCATATTCTTTACAAATAATGGAGAAGTGAATCACATCCTTTGGAAAAATTACCGAAGAATGAGAATGCGCAGCAGAACTACTGCAGCCTTAAAAAACAGAATAAAGAATTACTTGGAATCACACACTGGAAATTTAAACTAAATTGCACTTTAGCTACTAAGTATACATGTTAAACTGTTCAATGAAAAAGCAAGATAATTATATTTTACATCATTTTTCAATTTTAAGTGCTTTCTTGTCATTGCTATGTTTCTGTATTTATATAAGTGTGTGTCTCCATATGTAACATGGTTCCTCAGCTTTTAAGGTCACACAGATCCTTTTATTCTTGTTCGATTTAGATAAACAAGTATTGTAACATTAATATGTAATTTGGTAGCAATAAAATTACATGGATTCCAGCAAAATGAAAGGGGAGCTTCACAACCACAGTTTTAAAATGTTACATTACAGGTCCAGAGCTGGCATCTGATATCCAGTAGATGTTTGTAAGAAGTGAAAACCGACTCCATGTGAGTCACTGATTTTGGAAGCCCAAATAAGCTCCTCGTCCACCACCCATCGTTGGACATTTCTGAATCTTATTTCCAATGTCTGAGTATTGACTCCATATGAACAATTAACTGGTGTTTTTTTTCTTTTTCTTTTTTTTTACTATACTTTCTATCATTTGTAGTGCTTTTACTTCCAGAAATACTTTATAAAGATAATTTGGGGGATGCGTAAACATTATTGCCTAAAATTTTAACTTCCTATAGGGTAAATCTGTGAAGTGCTGATCCATACATTTAGGATTTTGGTATTCAAGAATACACCAACTAGAAACCTTTCTTTTCCCAGCACATTTTATTTGACCTTTCATACCTAAAAAAATGTGTGAAGTGGTTTTAGATTTGCAACTGACAACTTACTGCCCAGTCAACTGCCTCAGTCGTGAGCCCAACTTGCTGATACAGGATTATTAAATCATCTTGTAAGGTTTAAACCTGGCATCTCATTTCTGGAAATTAACCTATTTTTTGGAGCCAAGTTGCACACATAAATGTCACTGCATGCTGTAAAATATCACACTATTTCCAAGGTCGGGATGGTGTTAGTAAATTCAGTGCACATCGTGGGGGAAAGGCTTCATAACGCAATTAAATCACTTCAAAAATGCAGCAAAAGTTGGGAGAAATGTAATTCTGTACAAACGTCTAAGCCTGTGCTCCTATGCAAGTCGGAGCAGAAAGAGCTGTTTCTAAACATGCATAAAATGTTACATGGATTATTTTTAACCAAAATTTGAAAATGAGATGCTATTTGTCTTCTATGCTCCAGTGTAAGCTTCATTTAATGTAGACATTCATCATGCTTTTGGTGGCCTGAGGCTCCCGCCGGCAAAGTGAAACAGCAATTCCTCCTTAGCTGACTCACATTTTTTAGAGAGCTGAAGCCATCTTGTCTTCTGACTGCACTTTCAGTTCAATTCGTTCCTTGCTATCATGCTGCTTTTAAAGAGAAACTGCAGAGTACGCTTTCAGAATTCTATGCAAAAATACTTGTGTATTTTGTACACAACCAACAGCAGTACATGAAATCAGCCACGCACCTTTTGTGACTGCGGATGTGTGATGAAATAATAGTAGGGACTTGAGTTACAATTGTATTTAAGTTGAAGAACTATGAAATCAGAATTATCCTTCTCATAAGCGCTTGCTTGCTTCATCAGCCACATCACTGGGTGGCAAAAAAACCCTTTTCCTTCACAGCGCATTCTTCTCTGCATTCTTAGGACTGGCACACAACTGGCTCTTGCTATTTCTAATTTAATTAATACAAGATATTTTACAGAGATCTCAAAGCTGAAAGACTCGTATTTATTTAAAATGCATTTTGAATCGGAGTGAAGTTTTTGATTACATGATAGTGAAATGGTGATTCTGTGTAAGTAGCACTAATCAAATTGCAGTCACAGCCAATTGATTTTGCTGCTGCAAAGAGTGGCTGCTTACAGAGTAACTAATTGCTCTTCTACATGGGACATTTCTACAGAGCCCCAGCCGTCCTCATAGATAACCACTCTGCTCCTAAGTGTGTACAGAAGTTACCATCCCAGTTCCTGCTGCTGGCCGCTCTGCAGCCTGTGTTTCATTCTGAGATCACTTGCCTTTCAAAAGGAAGGATATGGATTTTTATTTTTTATATATTTTTTTCCTTTTTGGAGACATAAAGCTCCCCAGTCACACCTATCATTTCCTTCAGTGAAGGATTCTTTGTGTTTTCTTGCACATTCTACAAAGCACCAAACACTAGCCATTATCAACCAGCCCCAAACCTCTACTCCCACATGAAGCCCAGTCCAGGTCACTCCTTGCATTAGGTTTCTAAATGCAAAACCCTAAATGTCATTGCAGCAAGACAGATAAGGCCTGCTCACAGCCTATTACCTCCTTCCTGGCTCCTGTGGTTTTCACATCCCATCACACTGTTATTTAACTGGTCGAAAGCTTGTCAAATAATTCCATAGGACTACAATGTAATAAACTGAACTGTACTGGAAAATGATACCATCGTGCTGTGACACTGATTGGGTTCAGTGTAAAAAATGCTACCCCTTTGATCTGCTCTATCAGACATGGAAAGGACAAGCCATAAAGCAGCGTTCAAAACAAAACCAGAAACTTTCCAGAACTAACAAAGAAATTGCTAACATCTGATTCACATTACACCAGCAAAACAGAACTCTGGAAAAGGACCTTGTTTTGATCAGATGACTTGGAGATATTCTTGATCTTAGGGTCACTCACACACATCCCAACACTTGCTATGTTACGAAGAACAAGGAGATTAGAAGACCATTCTTTCTTGTACATCTGGGTGGTATGTTTATTTTCATAAAGGTTTCTAACAGAAAACTCTCTGATAAAACCTGAACAGTACCACAGGACAGCTTTTCATCTCAGAGCCAAAACTCTCAGCATGCTGTCACCCTTAAAGTAAGATACACTTATCAGTCTGAGCACTGCGTTTTGTACACCCGTACAGAGCATGAAACATTCAAAACTCTCCCAAGGCAGTCAAGCCACTGAGCACCTAGCACAAAGCATGCAGAGCAACTGGGAAGAGCGTTCTGAAGCACTTGTCTTTGCCCCTCTATGCTCATGAGCTGCCTTCAGCTGGCTGCCACGGAACAACGGGTTGCACACAGTGCTGGGGGAGGCAGTGCAGCAGATGCTCAGGGAAGGATCAGATGGGATCAGACATAAAAGTAAACACAACAGGTTAATTTTAATTCCTGTTTGCTTAAGCATACGCAGCTCTACTTGCTATAACACACAAAACTC